TGCGTTTAGGGTCACAATATCTGAAAAGTATGTACATTTTGATCTGTGAAAGTAAGATAGATTTGCTACAGTAACTGTGGTACACTATCTGTTTGCTGGTTATCCTGTTTCACTGTACTCTCTGAACCACTGCTAACTTTGGTGCTTAGCTGATCACTCATTGGCAACCAAGTCCTCAAATACCTCAACAGTTTTGATGCTAGTGGCAAGGATGTTTCTGATCCTAACAGCAAGGGATATAGAGAAGTGTGTCAAACAGTACTGGTTGATAATTAAACAAGAAATGCCCTGTTGGCAAAGCCTTCTGGCCTCCAGGAGAGGTGTGAGGAGGGTGTCAGTCCGGCCCACACACATGATGGAGCGCGTTTGGCTGTAGTTATAATAACATTGTAATACTTGTAGTTCATGGCAAGAATTCCTGGCATTGTCAGAAGGTGTTGGGAGTATTTCTTACAGGTGAGAAGTCATCAGCTTTTCTAGCATCCCCAAGGTGATACATCAGCATTACATATTACCTGTCTCAGCATTACATATTACCTGTCTCAGCATTACATATTACCTGTCTCAGCATTACATATTACCTGTCTCGGCATTACATATTACCTGTCTCGGCATTACATATTACCTGTCTCAGCATTTCATATTACCTGTCTCAGCATTACATATTACCTGTCTCAGCATTACATATTACCTGTGTTGGCATTTCATATTACATGTTTCGGCATTACATATTACCTGTCTCAGCATTTCATATTATCTGTCTCAACTTACTATATACTATAGTAATCCTACAATGTTAATAACCTGTCAATTATTCATCTTTAAAAAATGAACAAACTAAATGTTTTAGTGTTAACTGTTCTAAACAAGAAATCAATCAAATTTTAGCAAAAATATAATGTAGAGAATTCTACTGGTTTCAGAAGTCAAAAACGAAAGTTAAAAATTGGCAGCCTACCTCCAAAATAGGAAGGCTTTACAAGTATGCTAATGAATATACGAGACAGAATACATTTCAGAAGTCAGCTAGATTAGATTGAACTACATACTAAGGTGTATCCCTCGTCTTATTAACAGCAACATAAACAATTTATACAATTCATATCATACATTTTACATCTCGCTATCAGATTGCCTGTAATTGAGATAAATCTTTGTCTTAATTCCTAAGTAAATTCGTTAGAAGTGTGCTGGAGGTGATTCACACTGTAATGATGTACAATAAGGCGTTGTGTTAACTACAGACCCCTCGGCTACATGTTAGTTACATAATTTGGAGGATAACCCTGTGTCTGTTACTGGTGCGTGACAATGCCAGTCCTGTCCCTCTTACACCAGTAGAGTTGATGATGCACCAACTTTTTGTGAGCCCTCACTGACTATCCCTGCACTCATCAAAGCCTTTTGTCGCCAAACCCACCATAATTACAGCCAGAAATTTTGATTAGTCTAAAAAAAGACACATTTGGAATACAAAACCTCCAACACCCAACATGCATTTGCTGTACTTAAGAGAGCTATTGTTGTATGTTTCTAAAGTGACCATTGTTTCCTTTCTCCGACCAAAGGTTGCTTAGTATAGCCACAGCTGACACTAGAAAGTCCCCTACTTGGAAATGACCCACACGGTCTTGCAGCCAAATGTAATTAAACCTGACATCTCTTTATTCTATCAAAAGATTCTTCTGAATGAAAAAAAAAGTGAATTCAAAGGATTCTTTATGTACAGTTTAAGCCTGAGAGAAACTATGAAAGAAACAGTATATTGATTCTATAAGAATAAGAAACAGTGTTTTTTATCAAAGATCATTTTCTCAATAAGGAGTTTATAATATACTCTTCTTTTGTTCATTAAGAATAGCTGGCCATCTGTAATCTGACTTAAAAGGCATGAAACTCTCGTTAAGGTCTCATGGTACAAACAAAGTTTATAGAGTTCTTTAAGAAGACAAAAGGAATTAAACATCTACCTGTTGGGATGAGATGTACAGATCAGCAACATATGAAGATGAGTCCTGATGCCATTCAAATTATCTCTAAATTCTTACATATCAATGGAACAATTGAGACAATGAATCAAAATGTCAAATTTTTAATTCTACTTGATTTCAAATGTATTATATAATAAATCTTTTAAACATCTTCCTAGCTCAGGTGAATCATTTTCATTAATGCTGGTATTGCATGTTGGTTTACTGATTGTACTGGTAGCAAAGGCCTCATTTCTTTCTACCACAATTACTTTATAAGCACAATTAGCTTAATTGGAAATTTTTAAAACTTTTTTAAAGTGTTATTAAGTAATTTTTTCATCGGTTTTATCCTCAAAAGATCACAGTTAACTAAAACACATGATTCAGTGTTAAAACACATCTATGTGTACAAAAACAGAAGATATATGTTTGTAGAAATGTTGTTTGATGTAAGAACTAACCAGGCCAGCCTGACATTGGTTGCTGTGTACGTAAGGACAGTGCAGATAGCAGTATAGGGACAAAGTCATATTGATATTCCATACACTGACTCACTATGATATCAGCACCCATCAATAATAATTATCTCTGCCAGATTAAATTGTCATTTACGTCCTAATCTGACCAACAACAAAAAACAACACACCTAGCCCTTCAAGGGGCCCACTGAAGCTGACAGCTGACACCCACAAAGGACCTGTCCTCACATCATCTGGGGTCGTGTGCCGAGGCCCTCAGTCCTACCCGGACCCAGCAACTCGATCCACCGGTCAATCGTCCAATCAAAATCTTACTGTGTTGGTCTTCACAACCTTGTTAGTTCCCCAAAAAGTTTAATTTTCAAAATACGTATGTTTTCCAAGTACATATAAAAGACATTGTTGATTTTAATTCTCACATTTATTTTTGCTAAAAAAATGTGGATAAAAGCCTTTACTTTACTCATTTTCAATACTAATGCGACACCATGAATCTGTGTGGTACAGTATGGAAGCTACCCAGACTTTGTGTCATTATACAGAAGAGTTTGTGATACCCACTACCTATCGATGAATGTTCATACGATCCCTGGGTACATCACGCCACCATTGAAGCTCCAACAAAGCAGTTAGCAAGGGGGGTATTTCAGCACGCGACTGCTTCTGACGTACAATACGATGACAATAAATAAAAAGTTTGTGTACGATTGGTGATAAGATAGGCCATAGACCCCCAATGACTGAACAATACTCAAACAGAACAATGCAATATTAAGTTTCGTACTAAATAACAATAGATTAAAATAACAATCATATTATGCTAATGAGGTCTTCAATACCATCTAATTTTTACATCTAACCATAAAACAATTTTAATTTGATTTTATCAATATAATTAGAAATATTTTTTACAATTATTTTTTATTTCAAGTAAATCTGAATTAATATTTAAAAGCTGCAAATGAAATTAAGAATATAAGTCTTGTATAAAGGATCTATTCTTTGTTGTAAAATGACAAAAATAAATCTCTCTAAGTATATTGGTAGGCTCTTTTCTCTCACAACTGTAAGGGACATGTTAATGAGGGCTAACTAAATTAGTGAGAGAATTAACTGGTGTCCAGTCAAGTTTACTGATAAACCTGCATTAAGCTGAGATAATTAACCTGATTTTTCTCTGTTAGACCATCAAGCACAATTTTAGAAATGCATTATTTAAACAAACACCCTTTAAAGCAATCTGATGCATGATGGTGATACAACAGAGATGCCGGTTCGTCAACAATCAATTTCGTACCCAATCACAGGCGAGTATGACGCTGTCAAATTCATTATCTCTACACCCACTGCATGGCAGCTATTAATTATTCAGTTTTCCCGAAAGCGCATGGACAATTTTCCACCCATAATGAATCAACTTCTCCGATGAAATGGCCATAGCTCAGCAAATAGTTTCTATTTCGTAGCCTCCAGCAACGTATTTCTATCTCCTTTCTGTCTTGAATTATTAATTTTCATATTCTCGTTTGTCATTCTTTGGTTGTGTTTTTATTCCTCAAAGATAACGACGACTCTTTTGACAATGAAGTAACTCGCGTTTCTGGTTGCTATAGTGTTGATAACTATGCAGCTCACACCTTAACGATCTAGTGAGATTATCGGACAGTAGTTACAGAGGATATAACGGTGATTACCTGTGGGGGTACATCAAGTCTAACATCTATCGGCTTTCTTTCACACCTGCCAATATACTGCAAAGATCAGGTCAACCAATCGACAAACACTGCCGCTAAATCTACAGGTAAATACGGGATGGTCTGAGGTATCTGTGATTTTATACAAATGTCTATTTCCCTTTAACTTTTCTTCTCATCTTCCTGGTACGAGTTTCACTTTTGTAGCTATTTTTTACTTGATATCTCAGTATAACTTATAAAACCATTTTGAAATTTAATTGTACTAAGAAAACAATCATATCCATTTTGATTTGTTTTATAGTATATGAAATTTTCTATTCCGAATTTAAAAGATAACTTTCTTGACATTCAAATATATACAAAAAATTGCAATTTTAATTAATTTTATGATTTTGTGAGAAAAAAAAAAATTGACTTGAAATACCAGCCATGCCAGTTCAGTATAAAATGGGACAGAAATCTTTCTAAAAATAGTTCTAGAAAATATTACAGCTTAAAATGATATATAGATACAATACAATATTTTTGACAAATTATTTACTTAACTCAGTAAAGCAACACTGAGTAGATAATTCACAACCAGAAATAACGGAAGACTTGTGTTTTGAAGAATAAATAAACACAAAACACATTTGCCAATGTTTAATATATTTTGATACCAATATTTAAGCAAATTAAAATACACTATTTTTTCATGTAACTTCCTTTAAACACATCCAGTAAAAAAAAAAATACACAACAAATAAGTTGACAGGATAATAAAAAATATTTCTTCTGATTAATTCCTAAAAAAATCAATTTTTGAAACATTGCCAGCTGATTTTTTTTTTATAAGTTCACATATCACTATTATACAACCACAATTTAATGCAATACCTTGAACAAACGATACATACCCAGTAAGTATCCAATCTTAGTTCCAGAAGCTTAAAATCATAAATTTACTGACCTATGAAATGTTAATTGAACTTCCGTATGATTTCCAAATATTAAAGTGACTTTTAAGACATTCCATGGTATACTTTATACTGTAGTTTTTTGTGTACATGATTACACAGGTCACTTCCAGTCTGAGTAGCAGTACTGACCAGGATGGCCGGAGTGGTCTGAACACACTGGTTAAGTCCAACCTTGACCAATGTCACTGACGGGTGATCACAAAATCTTGGCTCCGTCTTCATTTTTTTAACAGGCTGAGATGTGTCTACTCCATTGTGACTGTCTGTTGTATCACCTATCCTGGAGCCCACAATGCGATGAGGTACCGACGGCTTTCTTTTGTGCATTGGGCGTGCTAAAGGAACCAACTCTGATGAAATGTTTTCACTTGAAGATGCTGATACATTGAGTATCTGATAGGAATGAAGGTCCTCGAGACCTTCTGTAATAGTTCCAATCTTGTTACCATTACAATCTAAGTAAACTTTCTGGCCAGTCATATTCGTAACGTCTATAAGATCATCTGGCATTGTTTCCAGTGATGACCATGATGATTCCAGACCGGAGGAATGTCCATAATTGTATGGAAAGTTTTCATCAAGATTTTCTGATTCGCACCTAAATATTTTTCTACCTCCAAACACATTCCGATGGGTGTCAGAAGGAACATTTAAGGTAGACAAATCTGGGACATCAATAATCCTGCTGATGTCTTTGTCTTGCATGTGTTTCTTCTGGTAGAGGCGAACCATGTTGGCCTGCCTTTGTTGGCCTGTATAAAGACTTGGTAGTTCTGTCAAATTCTTCAGTTTACAGACAGGAGATGATGTTGAATCCTGGGTTAACTGAATATTATTCTCACAGGAAATGTGCCCGTTTCCGATACTTGAAAGTTCTGTAAGTTCACCCCGCCGACCTTGACCTAGAGTTGACATGGCTTTGAAGTGGCGAACATATTCTGATAGAAGACCTGTTCTCTCCTTGATAACCCTTTCACTAATCCCCTCACTGTACAAGGTCACAGCCAACGTCACAATGCCAGAGTGACCTGTATAATGACCTTCAAACCCAGCGTCCTTCATCATGGAACTTGTGTATGATCCCAGAGTGTTCTGACCTAGTGGTTGGACAGAGAATCGTATATTGCCATGACGATGTGGTTCCAGTGGTTTGAGGTAGAAGTTTCCTGAAGGACCAATTGCCTGAATGTATCTGACAAAGATTTTGTACACAGATATATCACGATCAATGTCATGATGTTTCACTGATCGAATCTTCCTTCGATCATGTCCCGAACCCTTCGATGAATTTCCATGGAAGACAATATATTTTCCTTCATTGTCTGTCCCAAACATGTACTGCTCTACTCGGAGGTTCCTGTGCTCCTCTCGTGCCCGAACACCAAACACTTTACAGTTGTAGTAGTACACTGATCGGGACAGACCCAGTGCTGTATCCATGTTGAGTATACGTCTCTTCCACAGAATCCGCTCCTGGTCCTGACTAATGGGCTGTGACTGTTTCTTGTCTGTCTTGATGCCCATATCTTCAGATAGTTTCATCTGTGATCGGAGAGTTAGCTGGAAATGGTGAAAGTTTAAATTTTTTGAATCAAGGAAATTGAGATCAGGTCGCTTGAGGACGAGTCTGACGAAACGAGATATTCCTGCACACAGGTTGTGGAGCGAGTCTTTGGGATAACGATTACCATCCTTGTTGCGAACTTCCATTACAAATTTACAGAGGAAGCCATCCAGGATCTGAGGCTGAACAGAGCCAAACTGCTGGACAGTTGGAATGATAGCTTGACCAAAGCCTGTCACAGCATTCCTTACTTCAGCCCAAGTGTTCCAAGTATTGACAGTCCAACTTGTGTTCTTCCGGAGCTGTTCTGGTACAAAATCCTGGATACATCTCTCAATCTCCTTCATGGGAACAATATGCAGTGCATCCTCCATCTTGCCTGGTGGTACAAGTGTGGAGCACTGGAAAGTTTTACTGCCCTGGTTCAGGTTTGGAAGGCTTCTGGTTTGGCTCTGATCTGGCAGTGTGTCTGTTCCCCCAGAATGCAGGGATGCGTTAAAATAAAATCTCTTAGTGTTGTAGACACCGTTACAAGGGTTCTGCTCAATTTACATGTATGATAACATGACACCCTCAAATAGACACTAAAGGTTAATTAAGGTTCATATTATATGGCAACATAATACCCAAACTCAATCAATGTGAAAGGCAGTGGATTCTGCTTGCCCTCCAGGAGTGTAGGGTTACCATATTACCGCATTACATTCAAATTCTACCCCGATTCCCACGTTCTGGTCAATCGACATGTCAGATTTGAACCGGAGCCTGTTCTGGGTCATAGCCGGATCACACCTCAATGAAAGCTCCCCATACAGAGATCAATGCTAAATTTGAAATCATATCCTGAGAAAAAGAATATAGACCGTTTACACAAGTCCCACGATAATGTTGCGATACAATTTGTCTATCTTTAATCAGCGTGAAAAGAAGTAGGTATGAGATTTTAAACACCCAGGGTCAAGCGAGACCTTTGTATAAAGACACGGTTTAAACGCCTCAGATCGTGGGTAATTGTCACAAACAACAGGGTGTTTATTAGTCGGGTCAGCAACGCCATTCACCCAAGTTTTTAATTTAAGAAACAAATAAACAATTAGCAATAGGTTAATGATAAGATATGTTTACTGGATATCTGTGACGGGAGTTTGTGTTTATTTATAACTACCCGAGTGTCAAAGTTTATGGGAACTCGGCAGTGTGAAGACATCTAAACTTATCTCTACACGTATTTTGTCTGCTGAGATATAGACTCAAGTTTTTTAATTTGTGTTTATCTTTCAGATAATTTCCTTATCAGGATTTATATAAACATTTCATACAGGCGCATTAAATTTTACTGTATTACGATGATCAATTACTTAATTTTGAGAAAAAATAATAATTCAAATATTTTATTGAAAATTTTTACTTGCATATATATAATTTCAACAAAAAATATCAAACACAATATATCTGATTGCGAACTATATGGACTTTTTATTACATACACATGATGTCACATAATATTAGTACTACAATTATACTGTAACACATTACACTGTATGCATTAATATGTCAGAATATATAATGTCACAGATACAATGTAATACACTGCATCATTCCAAATATAGTGTATGTCACAGATACGTACAATATAATACAATGTATTATTTCAAATATAGTGACTATCACAGCTATAATGTAATACAGTTTATTATTCCAAATATAATGTATGTCACATATTCAATATAATACAATGTATCATTCCAGATATACACTGTACTGTATGTCACAGATTTTTTTTATTCCAGATAGAAGTGCACACCACAGATACATGATACGGCTAGAACAATACATGAAACATTCTGGAGTGTCCTATGCTCTATATTAATGGTCAGTGAATTAAGTGGACAATGGTCCAAATGGACTTATCATGTAACAGGAAGGTAAAATCACCCATTTGATTGGCCTCCAAATGTAATCAGCATAAAATGACCACAGATTTTACGACCAAACATCAAAGAGAACCTTCCAAGGTAGGATCTGTTAGCAGGCGATGGCAATGTCCAGACAGATGGTCTGCGGATCACCTTTACTGACCAGTGTAGTGTTGTGAATAAAGACTTTATCCAATTTGCAAAAATATATACATAAAAAGCTAATAAAAACAGCGTTGTGGATCATTAAGTGAACTATTAGCTGTGACTTGGGGCAGTGCTTTTATCCCTATAAAATACAGCATTCTTTTGTAGCCTATAATCAATGCTTAAATATACAGATAACTTTTTATCATGCTTTTGTCCTCAATACAATACTTCTACCATGACCTAGATTAAGTATTGTATTTTAGTCTTTTTTATTATAATCATTCTGCAAGAACAGCAATTGTTTAATTATACCCCTACCTCCAAATGCATAGTACATCTTTACACAAAAAACGGTCTCTTCTTCCATCATCTTAACCATTAGGAGGGCTTGTTTCATTTTCACTTCTAAGTACAAATATTTGTATCATGGAATGTGAATAAAATAAAATGAATCATAATATGTTCCCAAATGTCAATGAAGATTCCTTTTGAGCAGTTCCCCAAGTACCCGATGGTACCACTGCCCGATATAAACCTAGTAAATGATGACAGGTTCGTCTCTTCTAATGGCACAAAACGCATGTATATAGCATCTTAGGTAGAGAAAAGTTTTAAATGTTCAAGGACATCTTCAACCAAGTGGTCAGTAGCGGTCAAATGAAGGTCAGAATTGGGCACAATCTTTACTAATACCAGACTGTTCCTTGAAGCATGGTCAAAAGATGGACACAAGGATGGTTACACATCAATACAAATATGTTTTACAACTTTATGATTAAAGGCCCAAAACATTCCTGATGACTGATTGGAACTAGTTACCTTACAGAAGGTTTGTGTTTAGACAGGACTTAACTTGTCATGCCAACTGGAAAAAGGGGCACCCCCTCAACTCCTCCCACTTATAAACTAATTGACAACATCCCCCTCCCTATCTTCAGAAAGAAGAAGTGTGGCCAATTCAAGCATGTCCAAACTTCAAAGAGCATGATGATCTACTGTGTAATGTGACTTTAATACACCACAGTGACTTAGCAAGTCCACTATTGAACCACCATTGGCCCTAACATACCTTGAATACATCCTATACACAGCCATAGAGAAAGTAAATTAAGGACTTTGGAAGATGGTTACAAAGCATTGACAGTGTTTTCCTGGTACATTGTCCTTATTTTTCTTGTTCTGCTATTCAAAATCTTTTACTATATTTCAGAGTGTTAAAAAGTCTTTAAGTTCAGTATCACATTCATTTCAGAATTGTTTTCAGAGAGGGGTATAGACCTGGGGGTGAGGGAGGGGTGATTGTACAGGTTAAAATGATTACCCCTTGACTACCTCTACAAATGCATCAATCTGAAAGTCATCACTTTGAAGAGGCAGTAGAGCATGATGCTTTAGGGCTTAATTGACCACTGTAATGACCAGGGTCTGTAGCTCTATCATGTCCAGTCAAGGATAGTGGTCACTCTCTATAGCCATCTGTCTGTCCAAGTAGATTTGTCCTGTGATCTTCAAACCTTTAACACAGCGGAAACAGCTAAGAATTGCTACAGATCAAGAGGAAAGTGTTTAATTTTCTTTTTTCTTTAATATATTTTAGATGAAAGGACTACATATCTGTGAAACATAGTTACTATAATGTATATGCTTTCTATATATTGTCCTTCATCTACACAGACATGCAGACTCACTCAGGCTGTGCAATAATATACCAAACCTTTTTGCCTTTGTAAATGTACTGTTAAAAAAAAAAAAAAAATGGGGGGGGGGGGGGGGGGGATTGATGATCATAATTTTGTTATTTTACAGTTCAATCTATACACACAGTGATAAGGAAATGAGGAAACTTTAATATCAATGATATAATTAATGTTATCACAGGGAACCTATACAAAAAGGCAATGAAGGAGAAACTTGTCTATAACTGTCACCTACAGGTTCCAGCTTTACAAATCAAACTTTACATCTGACTAGATTGAATGGTGTACTGGTCATGTGATCTTACAGACTAGATGGAATGGTATACTGGTCATGTGACCTTACAGACTAGATTGAATGGTATACTGGTCATGTGATCTTACAGATTAGATTGAATGGTGTACTGGTCATGTGACCTTACAGACTAGATTGAATGGTATACTGGTCATGTGATCTTACATCTGACTAGATTGAATGGTGTACTGGTCATATGATCTTACAGATTAGATGGAATGGTATATTGGTCATGTGACCTTACAGACTAGATTGAATGGTGTACTGGTCATGTGATCTTACAGACTAGATTGAATAGTATATTGGTCATGTGACCTTACAGACTAGATTGAATGATATACTGGTCTTGTGATCTTACATCTCACTAGATTGAATGGTGTACTGGTCATGTGATCTTACAGACTAGATTGAATGGTGTACTGGTCATGTGATCTTACATCTGACTAGATTGAATGGTATACTGGTCATCGGATCTTATATCTGACTATATATTGAATGGTGTACTGGTCATGTGATCTTATATCTGACTAGATTGAATGGTGTACTGGTCATGTGATCTTACAGACTAGATTGAATGGTGTACTGGTCATGTGATCTTACATCTGACTAGATGGGATGGTATTCTGGTCATGTGATCTTAACAGACTAGATAAAATGGTATATTGGTCATGTGATCTTATTGACTAGATGGAATGGTATTCTGGTCATGTGACCTTACAGACTAAATGGAATGGTATACGGGTCATGTGATCTTACAGACTAGATGGAATGGTATACTGGTCATGTGATCTTATTGACTAAACGGAATGGTATACTGGTCATGTGATCCTACAGACTAGATAGAATGGTATACTGGTCATGTGATCTTACAGACTAGATAGAATGGTATTCTGGTCATGTGACCTAGCTAGCTTACAGCATTAAGGGATAGTATAGACTAGATATTGATTGACAATAAGATAGCCATATCACTTAAGTAAATCAGCCAACAGCGATATTGTCACACCTGTAATCAATACAATACAAATAAAACTATGACAGAGCGCATGTAATGATAAAATGTTGATACCCTGACAAAAAATTATCATAAATAGTACACTTCCATGTCAAATGAAATGTTCCTAATATGGGAATTTCATCAACCAAGAAACCATTAACGTGTTAATGCTAATGGTGATTGCAAGATAAATTCATTGACAAATTAAAAGTAGGTCAAATACCTAATAATGTACTTATTCTCATTCAACAAAGCACAAATGTTCTAACACAGCTGAGAAGTATAAACCTGTACAACCAAGGACAAAAATCAGAATTACGCTTCTCACAATGACATATTTTGTTTCCTGTATTTTCAATGTCATGTCACCTTCATATTCTTATCATTAAGCATTTAAAATCAACAACACTAATAAAGAATCTCCTGTTATTGTCTCATTATAGCCATGATCTCTGTTATTGTCTCATTACAGCCATGATCTCTGTTATTGTCTCATTACAGCCATGATCTCGGTTGTTGACTTGAAAAGTAAAGTAGGCCATACTGTACACATGACATAAAGGTCATTTAGACAAGTGTGTCCCTTTGTCATGTCGGCCATGCCCGTTTGAAGTTAACAGCAAGTCAGAATGATCTATCATTCTACAAGTACATAATATGTCAATTCAATAAAGACAATGATAACTATGTGTAGTAATTATCCTAATGTTAGCAAGAAAACCTGACGTGACTTTCACCATGTCACTTCTATTATAGGAAAGTCTGTGCATAGATGACTGTACTGATATACAGCAATGGTAAACTGATTAGCAACAACACTTACACAAAACCTTGGACACAAAGTGACCCAAGCACTGTTTTACAGGAATATAGAAATATTTTATTTGCTATAGGTTTGGGGACAAACTGACTGTATTCTACTTCAATAAGAAGCCATTACTGTGGGATCCCTTTCAGCATTGGTGTTTTTTTCTGTGCCCTATTATTGTATTGCAATTCTTCAGACCTGCCATTTCTGTTTTTATCTCTTAGTCTATCTTATGTTTTGGTGTTATCTCCCTTGGTATCTCTGCTTAGCATGTTGTCAGAATCCTGTGGCAGGGTGGAGCCTCAAGCTGTCAATCATGTCCAGGTCAGGATATTTC